ATACCTTTAGGAACCCAGTGAGACCCATGGGCCCTCTCCCCAGGAAAACGCATGTAGGCAAAATTTTGCTTAGACTCTGGGGCTCGGTGATCCTGCCCCTGAGGCAGACCCCAGCGAGCAGTCCACGGTGTGGTCACCTGGCACTCTCGCACCCCACGGGCCAGGCCAGCCCCTGCAGCGTTTGTCCTTGCGGTCTTGCTGAGCCAGCAGAGAAATGACCTGCACAACATCCTGGTGACCCTTCCAGTTTGGCACAGCACAGCTGATAAAGACAAGCTTCTCATGAGGTACAAATACTAGAAAACTTTGTAGTCTCATTTCCCGTAGTTTAGATACACTCAGAGGTGGTGGCAAAGAAGAAGTTCTGAGACCCGAGCTTTTCTTCCCCCACCTGCCCTCCTCGTGAGCCTCCGTCTCCTATGAGATGCACCTGACGCAGGATCCAGTCAGACCAGCTGTGTGCGGGGAACTCTGCGGACACCACGATGGAGTGCTGCTACCCTCAGACTGCCTTCATTTTCGATCGATGGCCTTGTCCCCAAGGCTGATATGCGGGAGCCTCGCCATGCTGGACAGAGTCCTCTGGGCGCACACGGCCCCTTTCCATCCAGGGGAAGCTCATGCCCACCAGCATGAATCCCTCAACCTTCCTGTCACCGGGTGAAACTCGCCCGACCCATGAGCCAGCCCCTGTCCTGGCTGCCACTGGAGATGCAAACCATCTCACAGCGTGCAGGTGCCGTCACCAATCAGAAGAGCAAAACACTAGCGTCCTGCCACCCAAGACCAGGTAAGATTGTTGAGGCTGGTGATTTAGTTTTGGTTTAAAAAACAAAGCCCGCTGCTCTACTACCGACTTGGAACATGCACTGTGACAGCAGCCCATTGCCCGGTAATGGCGGGTTTTGTCATTCCTGAGCTGTCCCGGCGGAAAGTTGAGAACGGTTGGGGTTGGGGGAGGAGAAAAGTACTCTCAACCCCACGAGAAAGCAAAGGAAAATATGAGAACACCGTCATCTTCGGAAACGTCTTCTTATACGCGTTTCTAAGGCAACACCCTGCCACGCAGAACGGTCCCACAAGATGTGCTGAGCATGAGAAAGTCATGAGGGCTCGTCCACACGGAAGTACTTAGGGCATCCTAAGTACACGCCAGAGACCGTGGGGGCAGCGGAACCGGCATGACTCAGTTCTCCCTGGCTGGCAGCCCCGAGACAGCGCTCCGTCCCTAATGGAGCTCACATGTGTCCTCCTGAGGCATCAGTTAGTGTCCGAAGCCTCACGCGTGTCTGTGTTACACACCTGCACACCGTCTCCCCACAAACATGTTCGAAAGAGAGCAGCGGAAAGGCACAGGCATGTGACCTCGCTGGGCATCAGGCGGCCTTCCTCAGGGGGAGGGCCCTTCACGAGACAGCAGCCTGCTCAAAGCCTGCCCGTGCCCACCAGGAGGGACACCCGGTGGAAGCAGAGCTGACCTGGGTGCCTCTCCATCCGTCTGCCCCTCCAGCTCCTGAACTGTCCTGCCTCTTCCTGCAGAAACAGGGGACAGTGCAGCTACTGGTGTGATTGTGGGTGGGCAAACATGGCTGCTGAGAGAGGCGTGAGGAGGAGGAAGTAGACCAAGCTCACCTGCAATTCTAGACAGTCAGAATGAGCCGGCCTCTTGGCACAGTAAGGAAAACAAACCTAGGATAGACAAGTGCCGATAAGAGACAGTAAGGCGGGAGTCCCGTCCCTCCAGAGCTATCTTGACAAAGCCGCTGCAGGCGACACTGTTGGTTTTCATGGAAATGTGGGGCTGGTGTCACTGCTGCAGTTTGAGGTCAGTCCCACACCTCACAGAGCCCACAGTCGCCCCCAGCCAAGGGTGGGGTGTACCGCTGCTTGAACCCAGAGGACGATATCAGGGCCCTGGTCCCCGAGTGCCTTGCAGACAGGAGGGCACATAAGGCGCGTCCTTGCCGTGGACCTGACCTTGTACCGGCTGTGTGATCTTGTGAAGGTCACTCAGCTCTCCACCTGTTTCCCCTACAGTCAGGACAGTCAGGACAGGGCAGGGGTGCGTGAGCTGCACACACAGCGTCCTGTGCGGGGCACGCTTTTCGTGAGGCATGAAGCTGTGGTACTGTTGTCACCAGCTGGAGAAGCAAACAGAAACCCTGCACAGGGCCATGGGCTGGCAGCCGTTACAGCGGGACCCCTCCACAGAAGGCAGGGGATGGAACAGCAGCACCCCAGCAAGGCCACAGAGCAAGGGCCCAGCCTCCCCGATGGTCCGGCCCCAAGCCAGAGCCTGGCGTCCCCAAGGGCAGAGGCGCTGGTCTCTGCATGTGCAGGCCTGCTGCTGCAGACCCCAGGGCTCAGCCTGAGCTCCGCAGGGCGCCTCGCCCCACATTGCTGCCTCCTACAGCACAGATGTCCCCGCTCCTGACCCTTCTAAGTTGGCTACTGCAGTGTCACTGAGGTATGGGCCAGAGCAGTGTCCACAAGAGTGGACTGTCTTGCCTTCAGAGCCTAAAAAGGCCCCCCAGGCCTGGCGTTTCCTCCTTTGAAGTGGGGGTGCAAGATGCCTCAATGAGTCCTTTACTTTGGGGGTACCCCGTCATGCCCCATCCACTGGATCCCTAGGAACTCCCGAGTGCAGAACTCTGGATTTGCACAGGGTCACCCCTGCCTCAGGGCTCACGTACCCTGTCCTCCAGCACACATGGCCCCCCTCCTTGGTCCCTCCTGCCCCGTCAGCATGAGGTTGTCACTGTTAGGATGCGTCTGGTGTCCTGGGGGATGGCTGAGTGGCCCAGGTCTCCTGGACTATATTAGGACAGCGTGGGCGTTAGCTGGGCCCTGGGGCCAACCACAAACGAGCACCATGCATTGTCCCTCCCATGTGAATGCAAACTGTTCTGGTTTCTTTTCTAATTAGGATGGAAAAGAATGTGATCGCCCATCGATGGCCTTATTAATCTGCTGTGACAAGGACAGCACATCTGGCAGATGGAATTTCTCTTCAGACCAAAGAGGCCTCTGGTTGTCACTCCGCCTCTCACTGGTCAGCCTCTCGGTCCCATCATCCCTCTACAAGGTCATCAGTGCACTCAGCAGCCCACCCACCACGCCTCCAAACACCCGAGTCCGTGTACCTGCAAGGTGCTCCTTTCCCCTGGGCGGTTTCCCAGGTCAGCCCAGGTGAAATCTAGCAATTGGGCCAGCCTCTTGTGCCAGAAAACACCTGTACCTCTCACGCCAACCAGGACAGTGGCCCGTCCTCCTGCCAGCGGTGGGCCAGCAGGACCCCCTCCTGCACTCCTTGTGTACCCTGGGGTCCTCTGAGGATGTGATCCGAGATCCATGGGGCAACAGCTACGAAGGATCCAGGGAGGGGCGGAAGACGACCGGGCCTGCAGGTGAGACTCCTGTGAAGGACAGGCAGGGGGCACGGGGGGAGCAGTGGAAGGCTGATGGGGGCACCTGGAGCCAAAGTAACTCCTAATTAAAGGGGTGGGCCTGTGTCGGGACCCCAGGGAGCAGCCCCATGGGAGGCTCAGCCTAGTGGGAGGCAGGTGGACGCAGAGGCCAGCACGTGGACGTCAGCCAGCGGGATCCTAAAGCAGAAACTGAGCTTTGCTCGTGGCCACCACAAGGCCAGCACACTCATGCACACCTACACACAGACACACAGATGCTCGCACACGCACACGTGCGCACACACACACACACACACACACACACACCTCTCCAGTACTCCTGGCTCCAGGCACCCACTGCCCACAGGAAAGAGCTGTGGCCGAGGACAGCAGTGACTGGCACTGCCTGGGGAGGGGTGCAGTGGAAGGCAGTGTGGGCCACAATGGGTGTCCAGCCTGAGGGGGATCTGGGGCCAGGAGTAGGTGGGACGCCTGCGGGGGGGGGGGGGCAGGGCAAACTTGTGGGTCTTTGGAATGCAGAGCAGGGGCAGCCTGTCCCTCTTCACACGGGAAGTCGTGCCCCCTCTGCTTGAACAGTCACTGCTGCTGGCTCACTGAGAACACAGCTGCCTCCACAGCCCCCTGCCCCTGGCGCCTTACCGTCTGGCCAGGGCACAGATGGAGAGGAGTGTCAGGAAGACCACAGGGCATGCACACAGAGACCCCCGGGCGCACAGGGGGCCAGGGAGCTCTTCTCTTGCCGGGAGGGGGCTAAACCAGAGATTCGCAAAGCTGCTCATCTGAGGCTGGAGCCCCCCAGGATGGCAGTGTCTGGCCTGGCCTCCAGGCCTGCCTGCACACCACCTCGAGGAGGTGTTCTGGTCCTGGGAGGCGGCTGCTCCAGTCTTAGGAGTGGGGGCCCCCTGCCGCCCTCTTCCACATTCCGCTCAGGTAAGGACAGCACAGTGGCCCCAGGGCCCAGCACCGAAAGTGCACCTGTGGGGTTCTTGTGAGAAAGAGGGTCCTTGCTCCTCACCTAGAGCACCCGAGGCTCAGGCTAGCCTGGCCTGCTGCCCTCGCCCTCCCCAGCCGGCCCTCGCTCTCTGGCTGTGCCCCTGTCACGCCCAGAGCGCAGGGCACAGGGGGACACTAGGCAGGGGACACTGGGGAGGGGACACCGGACAGGGGGCACCGGGCAGGGGGCACTGAGCTAGGGACTGCCGGCAGGAGGGTGCTGCCGCGCCGCCAAGCTCAGCTCCTTGCAGAGGGAGTGCGGGACGCCCCCTCGTGGGCCCTTGGTGCGGGGCGCCGTCCTCAACCCCAGGCCCCGAGGGGACGCGGCCCGCAAAGCGGGGAGGGGCTGTGACTTCGCCCAGGGCTGATTCTGGGGAGGCGGCAGCGCCCCACCCTCGCCGTGTGTCCCGTGGGGACTCACTTCCCGCAGCCCCCCACTCTCTTCTGCCCTCCGACTCCCCGCCCCCTCTGTCCCCCCACCGGCCCATCCGCGGAGCCGCAGCGCCCCCCGGCGGCCGCGCGTGGGGGGGGCGGGCTGGGAGGGGGCGGGGTGGGTATAAGACGGCGGCCCCTCCCGCGGTCCCCTCCCTCCTGCCCACTCGCCTCCTGCTCTCGCCGTCTGGACCCGGAGCCTCCCCGGGACGTGTCCGGCAAGGGCGCCCCGCGCGCACTAGAAGCCAGGTAAGCGCCCCTCGGGCCCAGGACCGGGACCCCCGCGTGGGGACCTGGAGTCCGGCCCTGGGACCCGGGCAGCCGGCCTGGAGCCGCGTCCCGCTGGTTGGCAAGTCCTGCGGGACCGGACAATGCAGGAGCGCGGAGGCCCCGGGTGGGGGCTCCCCCAGCCGGCGCCCTGACTGGTTCTCCCCACGGTAACGAATCTCCCGACGGGGGGCCGGGGGGGCCACACTGGCCTTCTGGCCCCACTTCAACCACTTGGCCCTGGGTCCAGGCTCCTCACGTCCACGCCTGAGGCGCCTCGCACGTTGGGACCAGGGGGCGCAGAGTTCATTGTGTGCTGTCCCCCTTGGCCTCTTCTGGGGCAGTTAGGGGGTTTCCTCCCTGTTCCCGGGCTCTGTGCTGAGATGCAGCGGTTCTGGCTCTGGGCTGGAACGTGCCACCCACCCCAACTCACCAAGAACTGGAAGGGCTCAGCTTCTCGTCAGACCAGTGCCAGGTCCTGGGAGGTTTGGTGTCATCTCTGCCCTGGAGGGGGGTTGAGGGCCCAAGTCACCCCCTGGGGAGACCCCCCCTTTTAGGTGGAGCTGGGTACAGAGTCTCCAGTTATGCTGGCCCCTCTCCGCTGGGCTCCAGGGAGAGGGTCCTCCTCCTTCTGGAAAGAGAGGTGGGGGCTAGAATGAGCTCCTGGGGACAGCAAGGGAGGAGGGGTGTCTCTGACACCCAGAGAAAGGGGATGGGGCCGGGAGAGGGGAGAGCACAGGTCACATACCCCCTACCTTGGGAATCAGCAACAGCCCAGCCTGTCCCCCACACATACACCCACCCCCCCACGGACCTCCAGCAGGGGCCGAGTGGCTCTCACAGGGAGCGAGGTGCGAGCCCAGCGGACCTCGCCTGGCGGCTCCCTTGCAGGGCTGGGCCCCACCCTGCCCAGGACTCCTCACCAGGCCCAGCAGAGCCCGGGGCTCAGCATCCCCAGGGTGTGGGGGTGTCGCCCGCTAGAGGCTTACTGATCCTAGTAACATTGTAACAACACTCAAAACAACAGGGCAGCCAGGCCATCCTGCCCAGTGCCCACCTGGAATATGGCCCCTGTGCCCAAGGAGGACGCCTCAGGCTCCTATGCCCACACCCACCCATTCTCCATCTACCCAGCTGTCCCCAGGAGACGATCTTCAATTTTAGATGGATGTCCAAAAAGGAGGCTTGAGAGCCACAGATTTCCCCGTTTTTTCCTCCCAGTAGAGGAGTCTGGCCAGGAGGCCATCTCACATTTGCTTAAGAAGCCGGGCCCAGAGGCCTCTAGGCATCTGGGGCTCCCGGAAGGAAGCTGTCTGTCTTCCTCCCGTCACTGGGGTGCAGGAGAGTGGGGCTGTGGAGAGGGCCTGGGCCCTGGAGTATAAGTGACTCGGAATCTCCTGGTCAGACTGGAGGGGCTGGGGACCTGGGGCCCAGGCGTGTCCCCTTGGCAGGACACAGGTCTCGCTAGGCCACTGGGCCACTCCAGCCACTTTGAAGCTGTGCTGGTGAAAGTGACCTGGGAGGCCTGCGAAGACCGCAGCAGGTCGGGGAAGTTGTTGGGCACGTCTGCAGTGGAAGCCACACGGGTGGCAACGTCCAGGGGGAACGTCAGGCTACATCCCCTGGACCACCTGGTTGGGTGGGGTGTGGGCCCCTGCACTGGGCAGTGCACACCCACGACGGCACAGACGGCTCTGTTGTGCAGGGCCCACCTACAGTCCCTTGGGTGTCGTGGGGAACCGTGGGCAGCAGGGCTGCCTTCAGACAGTTCCCCGGGTGGCCAAGGCGGAAGGAGATGCCAGTGCCTGGGAGAAGGCTCTGGGCCCCCAGGCTGTTCCTGGGGCCTCAGCAAAGGTACGGCCACGCTTGCTCTCCTCTCCGGCCTGTGCTCTGTCATCCATACAGCTAGGTGTGGGCATCCGTCTGCCCTTAACCTGCCGGGGCTGCTAGGGGTCTTCAGGTGCACGGGCTGTAAGTAGACCACGTCTGCAACCACAACCGTTTTATACTGCTCTTGTGGTTATTAAGAAAAACACAAATAGTTTGCTTCTTTCCTTTTAAACACAGCCCCACACTTCAGTGGGTCGGCGCCTCGTGTGGCTCCTTTCGCACACTTGTGCAAAGCCGGGGTGGGGCCTGGTGTGGGGCACAGCTGCAAAGAAGCAAGCTTCATGGGAGGCTACTCACTGAACAGGCCCTGGGAGTCCCAGTCCCGACCCGAGAGACACACGTTGGCATTGGGCCTTATCATAAAGCAACGTTTTCCTCAGACTATGCAGACTTGGCCAGGACATAAAACATGTCAAAACCCTACGCCACACTGGTGGACCAGCCTCATGGTGGCCCATTGTAGATGCTGTAACAAGCAGATGAGGGTGAGGACCCCAGCTTGGAGAGGCCCGTGCTCCCAGGACAGCAGAGTCAGAGTCAGATGCCCACCAGAGACGTGGAGGCGGACCCTGGTGCTCATCACCAGGAACAGACAGTGGGCGGAGTCACTGTCTTTTCTCATTTGCCAATTTCACAGATGAGGGAGGGTGCCTTTGCTGGTTTGTTTGCATGTCCTTGGTTTTTCTGTGGTTCAGCATTTTTTGATCACTGACAGTTTGTAGTGTTGTTACTTGCCTGGTTATGATTTCCCCATGTTCTTCATGGCTGCTGATTTTTTACTAATTTGTAAGCTTCTCCCCCACCATTTTAAAAAAAATTGTGATAATACCACTGAATTGTACGCTTAAAAATGGTTACGATAGTAAATTTTACATTATGTGTATTTTAAGTGCATTCAGATTGTTGTGCAACCATCACCGCCATCCATCTCCAGAGCTTTTCATCTCACAAAACTGAAACTGTCCCCACTAAACAGTAACTCACCATTCCCCCTCCCCCAGCCCCTGACAGCCACCATTTTACTTTCTGTCTCTGTGATTTTTGAGATGCCAATTATCTCATATAATTGGAATCCTACAGCATTTGTCTTTTGTGACTGGCTTCTTTTATTCGCATAATTTCCTTAAGATTCATTCATGTTGTAGTGTGTATGTTCAAATCTCCCTCCTTTTAAAGGCTGAATAATACTCCATTGTGTGCATATGAACATGGGTGTGCAAATGTCTCTTTGAGGCCATGCTCTCAATTCTTCTGAGTATATACCCAGAAGTGGAATTGCTAGATCATATGGTAAATCTATTTTTATATTTTTAAGGAACCATCATACTGTTTTCCACAGCAGTTGTACCATTTTCCATTCCCATCAAACAATTCCAATTTCTCTACATCCTCTCCAACACTTTTTATTTTCTGGGTTTTTTTTGACAGTATCCATCCTAATGAGTGTAAAGTGGTATCTCAATAATTTTGATTTGCAGTTCTCTGATTAGTGATGGTGAACATCTTTTCTTGTGCTTATTGGCCATTTGTATGTCTTCTTTAGACAAAAGTCTATGCAAGTCCTTTGCCCATTTTTGAATAGGGTTGTTTGTTTTTTTGTTTTTGTTGTTGTTGAGTTTTAGTTCTCTATAATCTGGATATTAATCCCTTACCAGAAAAACAATTTGCAAATATTGTCTCCCATTCTGTAGGTTGCCTTTTGACTCACAAAAAAAAATTTTTATGAAGTCCAATTTGTCTATTTTTACTTTAGTTGCTTGTGCTCTTGGTGTCATATCCAAGAAATCACTCCCAAAGCTAATGTTGTGAAGATGTTGTCCCATGTCTTCTTCTAAATTTTTATAGATTTAGGTCTTCCATTAGGTCATAGGTCCATTGCAAGTTAATTTTTGTGTATAGTGTTAAAGTTTCAACTTCTTTCTTTTGCATGTGGATAGCCAGTTTTTCCAGCACTATTTTTTGAAAAATTGTCTTTTCCCCATTAAATCATGACACCCTTGTTGAAAGGCAGTTCACTATATACGCAAGTGTTATTTTTGGACTCGATTCTACTCCATTGGTCTATATATCTGTCTTTACGCTAGTATGCTAGTACCACACTGTTTTGATTATTATAGATTTATAGTAAGTTTTGAAATCAGGAAGTGTGAGTCCTCCAACTTTGTTCTTGTCTTTTAGGATTGTTTATTCTATTTGCAGTCTCTTGAAATTCCTTATGAGTTTTAGAATGAATTTTTCTATTTCTGTAAAAATTATCATTAGGATTTTGTTAGAGATTGTATTGAATCTGTAAATCACTTTGGGAAGTATTGACATCTTAATATTAAATCTTATAACCCATGAACATGGAATATCTTTCTAATTATTTGTGTCTTTAATGTCTCTCAGAAATGTTTTAGTTTTCAGTGAATAAGTAAATGTTTCACTTCCTTGGTAAGGGTAATTCCTAAGTATTTTATTCTTTTGATGCTAATGTAAATGGAGTTGTTTTTTTTTTATTTCCTTTTTGCATTGTTCACTGTTAGTGTACAAAAACACAACTGATTTTTGAGTGTTGACGTTATATCCTGCTACTTTGCTAAATTAATTTATTCTATGCATAAGTATCTTGTTGTGGGATCTTTGGGTTTTCTACATATAAGTTTTCTACATATACATATCATCTGTGAACCAATCATTTCTTCCCTTCTGATTTGAATGCCTTTTATTTCTTTTTCTTGCCTAATTGCTCTGGCTAGGACTTCTAATACTGTGTTGAATAGAAGGGACAAAAGTGGGCATCTTGTTTTGTTCTTGATCTTAGAGGAAAAGCTTTCAGCCTCTCACCACTGAGTATAATGTTTGTTGTGGGATTTTCATATACGGCTTTTATTATATTGAGGTAGTTTCCTTCAATTCCTAGTTTTTTTAATGTTTCTATCATGAAAGGGTGTTGAAATTTATCAGGAGGTTTTCTGCACCGATTGAGATAATCATGAGGGTTTTTTCCTTCATTCTGTTAATATGGTGTGTTGCACTGATAGATTTTTATATGTTGAACCATCTTTGCATTCCAGGAATAAATCCCACATGGTCATGGTGTTTAATACTTT